GCACCAAGGTTCTTCACCTCCAGCTTTACAATGGTCTCAGAGAAGGACCGCAGAGTGTCTTTTATTTTGTTTGAACAAACAGAGAGCACGGCTTCTCATTTACACAGTCATTGGGTCAGAAAAAACAGAGGGACAGATAGAGAGAAGTGCGATGAAGAACGACGCTTTGTGCACAGCAATATTGCAACAAAGAAAAGCTAAAACCAAAGCACCAGAGAAACACTGCGCCTATAATGAGTTACATTAAAAGTGCAATGAGATTTACAGAAGACGAGCAGTTTATTGCTGATCAACAAGGTCCATTCAGAAGTCTCTTCAGTGCATCTTTGATCTCCTGGTTCCTCAAACTGTAGATAAAAGGATTCACTGCTGGAGACACCACTGAGTACAGAAATGACACCAAGAGATTTAGAACTGGAAAAGAGATGGAGGGGGACTTCACGTAGGCAAAAAAGCCAGTGCTGACAAAAAGGGAGACCATAGCCAGATGAGGGAGGCACATGGAAAAGGCTTTGTGCCGTCCCTGCTCAGAGGGGATCCTCAGCACAGCCCTGGAGATCTGAACATAAGACAGCACCAGGAACACAGAACACCCAAATACTAAACAGACAGTGACCACCATAAGCCCAACTTCCCTGAGGTAGGATTGTGAGCAGGAGAGCTTGAGGATCTGGGGGATTTCACAGAAGAACTGGTCCACAGCATTGTAATGGCAGAGGGGGATTGAAAATGTATTGGCCATGTGCAACAGATAATTGAGATACCCTCTGCCCCAGGCAGCTGCTGCCATGTGGACACAAGCTCTGCTGCCCAGGAGGGTCCTGTAGTGCAGGGGTTTGCAGATGGCCACATAGCAGTCGTAGGCCATGACAATGAGAAGAAAATACTCTGCTGAAATAAAACAGAGAAAGAAAAAGACCTGGGCAGCACATCCCATGTAGGAGATCTCCCTGGTGTCCCAGAGGGCATTGGCCATGGCTTTGGGGATAGTGGTGGAGATGGATCCCAGGTCGAGAACAGAGAGGTTGAGGAGGAAGACGTACATGGGAGTGTGGAGGTGGTGTTCTGATGTGGAGGCCTTTTCCCAGAAGGGCAGCCAGGGACATGGCCAGGAAGGGCCAGAAGTGCAAGAGCTGCAGCTTCCGTGTGTCTTCAAATGTCAGGAGAATAAACACGGTGATGGAGCTGTCGTTGGACATCTCATT